CCCTTAGACCTTGGTTCATTTCTCTTACTCCTCTATAACCCTCTCTTCTATCTTGAGTGTCTCCTCTATACATAATCCTTTACAAGCCTTTCCCATCTTTTAAGAAAACACCATCCTCTGTGGTGGTCCTCCAACTACATGTTCTCCTCTTCCCTGGAGAAGGGACGAAATTAGAAAAAACTTTCTGGCTTCTACAGGTGATGGGCAGTGATCCTTGGGCTTTGAGACTTATTCTTTGGATCAGGTCTCAAAACCAAGCAACACACCCTGACAGTGGGCCTTGGACTGTTTGGACCATGGAAGATGCAACTTAAGGCACCCGGAAGCTGTGAACAATGCCTGTATGTGCTTGGCACTGTACTTGATAGGACAGGGAAAGGAAGTGGTTCTTTGACTGCTATATGTCTCTTAGTGTCCTGTCATTTCTATTTGATTCCATTGTGAACCAGGGCTGGGAGGCAGCTCAATCTGGATAGGTTATGACACCCTTCTCTCTTTCCCTAGCCAACCAACCCATCACTAAGTCCTGACAATACCATGACCTTAGCATCTTCCACCATTTGTATTTGTTACCACTGTTCTTGCTTATGGACAACTTCAGTGCAATAGAAAGAGTTTTTTATTTTTTTAAGATTTTATTCATGTATTTTAGAGTGCTCTGTTTCCATGTATGCCTACATGACAGAAGAGGGCATCAGATCCCATTATAAATGGTTATGAGCCACCATGTGGTTGCTGGGAATTGAACCTCTGGAAGAGCAGCCGGTGCTCTTAACCTCTGAACTATCTCACCAGCCCCAGAGTGAAGGTTTTTTAAAGTGTTGGGTAGTTGAGAAGCCTCGAGGTAAGAATAGAAGAATTAACAAAGTGATTGATGGAAGATGGGACAATCATTGACTGGTAACTGGGTAAGAGGTAAAGAGAAAACAGGTGCTGAGAAGGTGTAAGAAGGGGATGTGACTGTTACATTGGGGAGACTGGGGGAGAACAAAGGCTAGGAAGGCAGAAGGGAGCAGAAGGATACGTAATCCCTCCGCCTCACAGTGAGAGGTGGAAGGTGGTGCTGGGCAACAACACGTGCATAAGTGGTCATCCCAGTTATGATGAGCAGATAGGATGGGCACTCAAGAGCATGGGAGCAAAGCTAGGCATCATGGGGGGTTGGTCACAATGCAGCAGAAAGTGAACCATGCATGGAGAAAGGCGTGAGTTACAAGGCCCATCTTAGCTCTTGTGGATCCAGGCAGCAGCTCTTCTGCATGCAGCAGCTTTATGGAAAGCCAGAGCTGGATGGGATCTCTACATATGCACCCAGATCCATATCTAGATTTAGCTTTGGACCCAGTCTCCATCGTCCTGTAGCGGTACCTATGCAGAAGTGGTACTATGCTATTGAGACTGGTCAATATGTGTCTCCGGTCTTGTCCCTACTCCATTCTGTTGTCTACTATCAGAACAATCTAGAACACATACCTGCCTGGAGCTCTTCAGTGGCTCCCCTAGCTAAGGCACAAGTCTGAGGTCCTTGGATCTATGGACCTGATCTCCCCTTACTTTCTCCCTCCCTCGCAGGCCCACACAAAGCTCCAAGGCTGCAGGAGAACCACAGGATTCCCCATCCTCCCGCCCAGGAGCCCTTGCCACCCTCCACTCTTTGCCCCCTCTCGCGATATCTTCCTTCCTGTCCAGCTTCTCTTTGACCTTCAGGATCCTGTTCAAGGTCCATCATCCTACCAGTTATGATTTCCAAACAAGGCAGAGGAAACCAGAACGATGGAGCCGAGATGATAAGCACCCACTCATTTTTCTGCAGTGATGGGCATGTGGCTGTCAGGGACGTGTGAAACCTTCGCTCGGCCACGTTTACATCCTAGCTCAGCCACTTCCTGGAGAAGCTCCTTGATTTTTCTCTCTAATTTCCTCTCTCCAGGCATCCCAAGCCCAGACTGGCCTAGATGCTCTTTCCCAGGGATGGGGTGGGGGACTGCGGGGTTTCTTTCTCCTGATACTTCGGCTCTTATCTCAGTGGTGATCAGCCTTCCTAATGCTGCAATCTTCTAGTTCAGTTCCTCATGCCGTGGTGACCTCCCCCCATAAAATTATTTTCGCTGCTTCTTTATAACCATAATTTTGCTACTGTTATGAATCGTAATGTAAATGTTTTTGGAGATTGAAGTTTGCCAAAGGGGGTCACGGCCCACAGATTGAGAACCACTGTTTTATCTGATTCTTGTCTGTGTGGCACAAAGGCTGTTAGCACTTTATCAGGAACCAGATCTGCTCTGCCTTTGTAGTTCCTCTGCTCAGCTTAGGGCCTGACACCTACACACGTAAATGTCTCTACAAAGAATAAATGAGTAAATTTGATTCTGAGTAAGAGATAGAAATCAGTATTTTTAACCTTCAGTGCTGTCTTACTATTTACTTTCGTGATCTTCTCTGACAAGTTAAAGAGATGGATTTTCACAGATGAAGGGCAAGGGAAAGGTAGTTGTACTGGCTAGGTTCATGTCAACTGGACACAAGCTAGACTCATCTGAGAAGAGGGAACCTCGGCTGAGAAGAGGCTTCCATAGGATTGGACTGTAGGCAAGCATGGAAGGCATTTTCTCAGTTAGTAACCGGTGTGGGAGGGCCCAGCCTGGTGTGAGTGGTGCCACCCCTGAGGTGGTGGTTTTGGGTGCTATGAGGAAGCAGGCTGAGCAAGCCATGAGGAGCAATCCAGTAAGCAGCACTCCTCCATGGCCTCTGCATCAGCTCCAGCCTCCAGGTTCCTGCCCTGTTTGAGTTCCTGTCTTTAGTGCCTCTGATGACGAACAGGGATAATGAGGAATAAGTAAAATAAACCCTTTCCTCCCCAAGTTGCCTTGGGTAGTAGTGTTTTATCCGAGCAATAAAAATCTCGACTAGGACTGCAGTGTTATGAAGAAGTGGGGGACCCCAAACAGACTATGCACAGATTTCTTTTTTCTACAACTAACATTTATTGACATTTAACACTGTAGCTAGAACCATCTTAACCTTTTATGTGTCGATTCAATCCACCATCAAAATAAGCCCCGCCCTATAGAAGGAACTTCAGAAGAAGAAAAAGTTGAAGAACGTTTCCAGCCAGCCGCCGGGCTCCTGCCCAAATCTGGCAGAGCTGGCGGTTTTAGTCACCAGCTTGTCCTGCCTGCTGTGTGAACATCACTGCAGAGAAATAAGGGGCTATTTTCTCAGTCACCCCTGCTCTCACCTCTGTTAGCCTTTTTTCCCTCCACCTTTACTGAAAACCCACAGCTTTAGAGAGTTTGGCTCGCCAGTGGTAAATGACAGCGGAGAGCTTTTCCTGGTGGGTTCAGAAAACATCCATACAGTCAACACCTTAGCCAGTGGCTAAGGGTCATGGCAGAGTGAGTGTCAATTACTTGGTGTTCCCTTTGGAATTCACTTCCCTACCTCCCAACGAAGGGGCTGTGCAATGTTCTGATACGCATTTGTGAAGCTGTATCTTTTTAAACGGCTGTTCAAAGGAACACAAACTCTGGAGGAATGAAACTGGAGATTATAAAGACTGAAAAGCCTTTGCCACCTACCAGGCTTCTGACATCAAAAGAGTTGGCAAAGAGAAAGAGGAATTAGAGCAAGGGCCTGAGCATGCACGGAATCACTATTTTCTGATGGGGTGAAAGTGTTTAAAATGAGAATGTAGAACTGGACAGGCAAGATCAGGCAGTAGTACTGTGCTTGGTAAGTCTGGGAGCCGTCTTAGAAGCCATTGGATAAGAAGCTGGGTCTGACCTCAACACTGAAAGGCTGGCTTTCCTTGGGCTTGGTTCACGGGTGTTTGTATTTTGTCTTCATTTTGGAGGAGGCTCATGTACAGAAACTAAAGGAAAGGCGGCCTTTGGTTCCTCTGGCCTTAAGCACAAGTTCCTACTGCCTCAAAAGGAACCAAGTCACAAAAATGCCTGCATCTCTCTGCCCTGTCCCTAGCCACAGACACAGAAATGGCCATGGGAGGGGGGAACCCATAAGAAAATGTTTGCTTTGCATTATCCTAAGCCCAAACTTGTGACAACAGAGAAAATCAGCACAACACAGTCACCTTGAAATTCCATCTCTGGCAAGCCTGGCTTTGGCTTTGGTTTGTAAACAGGTTTCTGCAGAATGCAGGGATACCTCCAGAACTGATTTGCGCTGTTTTATTGTCTTTACATCCACTACTTTGAATGTTCTTTTAATAATACTGGACTGGTGCTTATCTCCATTCTGACCAGATATATATAAAAAAAAAAAAAAACAAGTAATTGCTGGGCAGAGGAGGTTTGCTTGCAATTAAATTTTTTTTTTTCTTAAAGAGAAATTCTGCCACCCTCTGGACAGAAATCAAAGATCTGTTTCTTAGAGATACACACAGAATAGAGTTCCCTAAAAATAAACATTAAAAAAAAATCTGCCCTTTAAGAGTGGGGGCCAGGGGGCATGGATAGAACCATGTAGAAGGAGCGCTGGTTGCTTTAGATAGCACAGACAAAATATATGAAAAAGCAAACTAGAATAACTCTACAGATTTTTTTAAACTAAAGAGAAAATGGGCTCAGAGCCCATCCAAGGAAAAGTCTCTGACATTTAACATGCTCTTTCCACAGCCTGTTCGTAGAGTCTGTTTGTTCCCTGCTCTCCAATATCCAGGTCAAGACTTCTCACATAATTTCAGCCACGGCTGGTTTGCAGTTACATTTGCATTAAATGTAACTACATTTTTAATGAGTGCTAACTGAACATGAGGACAACGAGATTTCAGCCATTTGAGAAATTAGTCACGGGAATCCAGATCGGTAGTTTTTGAATCCTGCCTACTCATCCACAGAACATGCTTCAAGATACACAAATGAAACTCTGAAAAACTGCAAGGATGTGCTTGTTACCAATTAAGATGTGGGGTGAATCAAAGTGCAGCCACACCTCCTCCTAAATCCCCAGAGGAGGACGCCAGACTGGCACCAGAACTGTACCTGGTTTTAGCAACAGGATTCAGATGCTTCTGGTCTTGGAGCACCTTGGCCAGCTGTTTTTGCAGAAACAAAACCTTGCCTTGAGCTCCTTTAATGAATGGGTGGTCCAGGAGATGGGTCACTGAAGGCCGCTTTTCAAAATCTTTAATAAGACACCTGTTTGCAAAAATCAACAAATAATACAAATGTGTAGCATTTGACATTCCCTGGGAATGTAGGAGAGAGGAAGCTTGATGATACACTTGATCATTAACCCCATACAGCTCTTTCCTTTGAAATATATACCAGAAAGTGGAAAAATTCTATTAATTGAATTAGTTAAAACATCAGCAATCTACTTTAGATTGTCATATGTAAATAATAAAAGCTCAATCAATTTTACCTTCTATTTATCATGAAGTATTTAAAACATTGGAAAAACAGACTGCTTAGAAAAATTTCCATCTTATTTTTCATTACAGAAAAGCATTTTCAAGAGAAGGAAGTTTATCTTAGGAGCATATAGGATTAAGATCTATCACTTCAACTAATCTCATAGAGATGTTCTTACTTGGAGGTGTGCGGAGCTTGGGGGCGGGGGAACCTGCAAGGATGAGAAAAGCCCAGCCGTTGACTCCTAATGTTTTCAGAGAACAGAGAAGCCCCAGAACAAGAAGTGACTAGCACATAGTTCTGAAGAATTTTGATGGAATTAGGCAAAGTGGGAACAAAAAGTCCATTCAAAATGGTAAATACCAGGTTCCATTTAAACACCTCTGCAGCAGACTGGTTAGAACCACGCCTGAGGAACGGCTTTATCTTTTGGACTCAATGACCTATCTAAAGAAAACAGTGACAATACCTGTTGCTGTGTGCTCTGGGCTATGATGGTTTTGACACACAGAAATCGCTAGTGAAATGGAATCTGATGAACACCCCTCCAATTACCTTCGTCCTTCTGTTCTGAGTAGCTGCCTTAAGTCAGAGGAGGAAGTTTCAACATCTTTCCATCTCGAGCTAACTCTGGAGACTAGGGATACATACAACAGGCCCTTCTGCCCACTCAGTGTCACCAACAGCTCTGCTTTTCCCCACAGAGGCATGCCAGCAGCAGCCCAAAGTCCTCACAAGCAGTAAGGAGTTCAGGACCCTCGGAGCATCTTTGACAGAGCATTGAAGCAGAATCCTCCATAGCAATCCCCGGTTGTCAGATTTACACGAGCTTTAAGCTTGGCAATTTTCACTTCAAAACACTTTCCCATCCATCCCTCACCTTCTAGTCCCGAAGGACTTGGTGACTTCCCTCGGTCAGTCCATTTCAGAATGGCTCGGGGGCTGTGAGAGCCAGAGCTGGCAGTTAGGAAAGCCAACCGCACGCAGAACATCTCCAGAAGGATGCCCACGAGACTATAAATACCACCTCCACCTTGCCAGAGGGAGAAATCAATCATTTGACCTTTTATCGGTCCAGGGTGGTTTGTATAGCCTATTGTTTTTCCTAGCGACAATACAAAACCAGTGCACATTTCACAAAAGACGGCTCTTGTCTTCTCATGAGCAGTCGCCACTGAATTCCATGTATATTCATGGGTCTGTGACCGTCAAAGGAAAACACTTCTGAGTCACTGAAGAGAAAAGAAGGAACTCAAGAGGGCTGTCTGGTTGGCAATCCAGGCGATGGTCTTCCCTCCTGGATTAAGTGTGGAATGTAAAACCCCCTAAAATAGAACAGCCATGTGTCTCCTGAGGGCTCATGAAGACAGACCTGGATCCTCAGAATGGGGTAGGAGGGTATCCCGGATCTACCCAATGGCTCAACAGTTACTGCTCTTGGAGAGAGGACCCAAGTTCTGACTCCAGCACCCATGTCAAGTGGTTCACCACTGTCTATAACTCCAGCTCCCAGAGATCTAACACCCTCTTCTGGCCTCATCAGGCACCTCACATACATACATACACACACACACACACACACACACACACACACACACACACACACACACACACACACACACACAAATATTTCTTATGAGGAAGAAAAGGTAAAATAGGGAAGCCTTCCTTCCCAGGTAACTATTACCAATGCTTCACACACAGACACTTGTAGGCAAAGCCAAACACGGACTAAGGGACAACATAAAATAGCTCATGGCACATGAAATGGGCAGTGGGCAGAATGCACCTCCACCTGCCTCCCTGGGACAGAGGCTCAGTGAGGCCATCAGGAGAGGCCTGCAGACAGAGTTTGGGGGCAGCCTTGGAGAGTCTGTCCCTTCCAGTTAACAGTAGGACATCTGTCCTGCCCCACAATGTTCGCATCTACCCGTGGAAGCAGGGCTTCCAGCAAGAGGCAAGAGCATCTGCTTGCTGTCCTGGAGAAGGTCTCGCTTTAGATTCCAGAGTGGGTTCGAGAAGGGCAGGGCTGGCGAAGAGAGGGGGACTCGGGTGAGGGAGACGGCAGCAAGGCCATCTAAGAGATGGTGGGCACGACGCCCCGGAAGACGATGAGTTAGTCTTCTCAGTAAGACTGGAGTGGGTGGAACACCACGCCACGGCATCCACAGAGAGAAGCTGAGTGTGCCTGGGAGGAATGCTAAACAGCACGGAGACACATGCAGCTGCACAGGGAGCCTTTTTAGGGGAAGGACAAGAAGACCTTGAGAGCATTGCCTCAATTCACAAACAGCCCTGCATACCTTGTTCGCACGGGGGCAAAGCCCAAGTCTGAAAGGGAATTATTACTATATTGACAGACAGAGGCCAAGGCCCTGTCTACTAGATAACAGGGCGTCATCTCATTCCATTTACTCAGCAAACATTTATTACGCCGCACCAGAATTAGATGAAATAAACTAATGCATGAACAGTTATGATGTTTATCCTCAAAGCACCTACAATAAATTTAATTGGAAAGATGGGAGGACCAGAGAACCACAGGAAACGGTAAAATCTGGTGTTTGCTTTTGTACTTAGGAAAAAAACAAACAACAGAAAAACCCTGGGCAAGGCAGTGTGTGCTTGTCATCTCAGCACTTGGGAGGAGCAGGAAAGAAGATGAGCAGTTCAAGGTCATTTTCAGAATGTTAGTGACTTCCAGGTCAGCCTGGACTCCATGCGATCCTGTCCCAAAAGAACAAAGCAACCAAAAACAGAAATACAGGGTTTCCAAGCCATAAGGATCAAGATTTTCTATGTGGGGGGCGGGCATATGTACATATTCATGTGTGTGTGTTCATGTGTGCACATGGGTGTGTGTGCACATGTGTATGGCAGCCAGAGGTCAACCTTATTGCCTTCCACAATTGTTCTCCATCTTATTTTTTGAGACAGGTCTCTCAGTGAACCCGGAGCTCACTGACTGAGTAGACAGGCTGGCCAGTGAAAGCTAGGTATTCATCTTTCTCACCCTACTGCCGCTCCAGCACTGGGTGTTTGCTATGTGTCCACGCTTATGTGGGTGCTGGGGATTCAAACTTGGGTCCTTGTGTCTTTTGAGGCAGGAACTTTACCAAATGAACCACCTCCTCAAGCCTCAATCTTCTTTTCTTTGGGTTTGCTTGCTTGTTTTTAAACAAGAGTCCTTTATGTAACCCAAGCTGACCTCAAAGCTCTCAATCCTCCTGCCTCGGCTTCCAGACTACAAGGACTACAGGCATGTACCATGACACCTGGCCGAGATTTTTCTACTCTCATCTCATTTTAGAATGTGAAGAACCTAAGGTTATCTTGTTAGTGATGAGGCCCTGGGCCAACTCCCAAAGGAGGGCTCTTTCTACTCTGTAATGTTCAACAAGCTACAGTGTGCCCAACAATACAGTCACGGGGAGCGGGTGTATTGTGAGAGACCTCCATTCATGGAAGACTTCCTGGAGCTGGCAAGACCTGAGCCAGGTTAGGGGGAACTAAAAGGAATTAGATTGATGGGGGAGAGGCAGGAGGCATTCCTAAATGCGGAAACATCAATCAGTGTAGCACGCAGCACCAGTTAAGGAGTGTAATCAGTAACTAGGAAACCATCAGATCACCCACCTTCACTGTTCAAGCTACCACGTTTGAATGCCTAAGGGCAGTTATTGTCTTTTGTCCTTTTACCAAATCTAAGGAATATTCATTATTGCTTAAGACTTTGAAGAGTGATGTCCTACTCTGCTTGCTCAGGGTTTTCAGCTCATCATTTCCAAGCAGAGAGTTAATAGATGAAGATGAAACTGACTCTCATAGGGGTAGGAACCCGGACAGCCTCCATGTACTTTTCACAGCAAGAAGAAAAGAAAGTTTTCTGGTAAACAATGTTTGGAGAACACTGGTGATCCTCTAAACCAAGTAAGTTTGAGGGGTTTTGTTTTTGTTTTTGTTTTTGTTTTTAATTAAAAATGTTTGAGTACATTAAAGGTTTTTTGGTTTGTTTGTTTTTTTTAATAAGCATTGGGGGTTTTTTTGAAAATAATTTTGAGTTAATATTTCCAAGCTTACTTGGCCATAGACATTTTTTAAATTTGTTTTTATTTTATGTTCATTGGTGTTTTGCCTACATGTACATCTGTGTGAGGGTGTCAGAAGCCCTGGAGCTGGAGTTATAGATAATTGTGAGCTGCCATGTGGGTGCTGGGAATCGAACCAGGATCCTCTGGAAGAGTAGCCAGTGCTCTTATCCACTGAGCCATCTCTCCAGCTCCATAGACATGTTTTCTTTTTCTCTTTTTCATTTTCTTGCTGTTAGTGGACCATATTCCACAGATTCCACCTTGGAAGTTCTGTTGTAAGCCCTGATTAGTGCTGTAGTTTTAGAATGAGGGACAGGGATGAGTTCTCCCCTTCGAAGACCAAGGCAGGACCCGTGAGTCCCTAACTGCCACTGTACCTGGGGTGTCCATAAGCTATTATTTCCACAGGAGGAAATCCATCAAACTGGGGGTGTGGTTGGCCCTGGTCAGTTCTTCTCAGAGTCTTTCACTTAAGGAAAAATAAAATTGAACACAGACTGGCTTTAAGGAAACTAAATCCTAGGTAAAATCTTTCACTGATGTGTTCTTTTAATCTCTTTATTTTATTTTTTCTTTTTTAAAAGTTAGATTTAGATGTGGTTTTTCTGTGATGAGGGACCCAAAGTAAAATGTGATAAAATCATATTTATATCCTGAACAATAAGAGACCCTGAATTTACAAGGCCACAGTAG